AAACCCTGCAGCAGATTGTCTGTTCAGCCCTTGCCCCAAGCACAGGCAAGAGCTACTTGCTGCTTGAGGGGCAGGTGAAAACTGCGTCCGTGCCGAGCTCAGCACCCACAGCGTAAGCAAGCAGCGCAGCGACCGCGCCGCCCTGGGAGTGGCCTGTGAATGTCACCGACGACATTTTGCCACCGACTGCGGCGTTGGCCTGAAGCGCGCCGCGCACGTGCGGCCACAGCGCCTCAAACCCGCGCGTAAAGCCCGCGTGCGTCTCCCCAGGGAAGTTCGCAGTCGAGTTGCCAATGGAGAAAGGTTGCTTGGAGGTGCGGTTATACATGAAATCTGGTCAAGGAGGTCGAAGCCAAAGCAACGAGGTTGAGACCGTTGCATGTCACAATAGATAGAAGCATGGACAAGCAAAAGCTATGGTTTCTGCAAGATCAACCTCGTACATGGCGCTCATCTGCAAGCCCGCATTCTAGATGACAGCCCTTTCGACCAGCACGTCGGCCATCTGCCAGCGCCTGGTGAACGAGCCCTGTGCTTTGCCCAGCTGCTGGCGCTGGGGCCGCCCTGTGGAGCAAAGCCCTCTGTACTGCCACATGCACACGCGCTTCATCAGGCACGCCCATGTCTCACTTCGTGTCCATTCGAACTCGGTCATGCTTCCGCGGACGGCCACCACCAGCTGCCCTGAAGCCGCCTGCTGCAGTATCACCATGAGAGGGTAGGGCCGGCCGTTCTCCTCAGGGATGGTGTACACACCCTGGGAGAGGTCTTCAGCTTTGGGATCGCTGCCGACCGCCTGCCAGCCAGACGGAATGAGGTAGCCAGCACTGGCGCCACCAAATGGCCGAGAGCAAGGCCAAAAATGCTTGCTGCGCCGTCACAGGGAGCAAGGGCAGGCAAGTATGGAGGTTGATCAGAGAGGGGGGCAATGGCAGTGGACAGCGTGTTGTGCAACTCAGCTGGAGCGCGAAAGAGGTGGTCAAAAACTTGTGCCCAGTGCGTATCCCCCGTGACTGTGTCTCTTGGAAGGGCAACGGTGTAGATGGCGCATGCCGGGCTGAACTCATAGCGAGGGCGCCTCATGGCTCACATGTTGCGTTGCACCTGCCACAGCCAATTGTATGTGGCCCCTTCAACGGCCAGCATCTGTTGAAACTTTTTCATTTGGGAGGGGCTCAGGCCATCTGGATTGAATCGCACCGGGACGCCACCGTTGACTTTGGTCAACGGCTTTGGAGCGACAGCACCTACGTGCAGATGAAAGGAGTATCAGCGAGAGCGAGACAGGCGTAAGCAATTTGCATGATTATTGTATGTCGCCGCACCATCAACCTTGATGGGGACGCGTCACGAAAGCTGGACGATGCAGATAATTCGCATCATTTGTCTGCGGCTTGCTGATTTCGCTTCACCAGGCGGGCGTATCACTTCGACCAAGGCAGGTGTGCATGGGCACCACTCACGGGCGGCGCGCAGCGGCGCTGCCGCACATCAGTTTGGTCATTTCAGGGACGTTGAAGGTAGGTTAGCCCCTGCCCAGACTGGAAGCCTGCACATCTCGCACCGTCAGCCGCTTGTGCCGGGGGCTCCACCTGCTCGCCAAAGCCCGTGTCCCCGTAATCAGGGCAGGGGTCCTGCGGCAGGCCGATCAAGCCGCTGGCCAGCGTGTTGGCGAGCTCACAGGCCTCTGTGTTGTTGCGGGCGTTCATCGCACTGCGGGCGCGCCGCCGCATGCGCCCAGGTTGGGGCTTGATGAGCAGATTGCTGGATGTTGGCACGTGATCAGGTTTGATCCCTTTCTCCACGACGCCAGGGTCCAGCAAGCACGACCAAAAACCTGGTCAATGCTGCTTGCTGGGCACATCCCAACTCATTCCCTGAAGGCAACAAAAGCATTAGCCAGTGGCTCAGGTACTCACGACACAAAAGGGCAGATCCATTTCACTGGGACAGTGTTGCCAATCATCGCGCTCGCCACAAACTCATCCTGAGCCCCGACGCATCCCGCAGCAGCCAACAGCAGCAGGCTCCCCAGCAGAAGCGCACAGCCTGCTGGTGCCGCGCCGCCGCAAGGGGCGCTCCGTTGCGCCAGCTTCACCATTCTCTGATGGCTCAAAGCTTCAGACGGCTTGCTGCTCTTACGTCGTCAGTTCATGGCATTTTGGTGGCGCGGCCGGGGATTGGTGGTTGTCGGTGGGATGACTTGTGGCTCATGAGCACCCGGCGTGTGCTCCTTTGCTGCGCATGCCGCAGAGTGCCCAACGGTTGCGTGCAGCCGTACAGCTTATGAATTGCAACATATATGGACTCCCTCGCACCTCTACAGCCTCGCGGGCTCAAGCTGCGAGCCGCTGCCAAACGGGTAATTCCGCTCCAGCGGCTGTCGCACACAACTACAACGACTTTATATAGACAACGACAGTCAACGCGACAAGCAAATGAACATGAAATGATTCCCCAGGTGATGGCGGCTCGGAAGCCAGGGCGGCTGCCACATGCAGCCACAACCTCCCTGGTGACCAACCAACACCCACCCGTGGGTTTGGTGCACATGATGGCAAATGTTTCTTATGGAGCACATGATGCGCGCTTTTCTAAATTATCTTACACCTTGTGGTATTGCCACGCAGTTGCCGCCGCAGACGGTGAATTTCCAGTGTGAACTGTCCGGCTTGTTGGGCCATCTGCACAAAAGACTGACTTTCTCGCGTTTGTCAGTTGCTCAATAGGCTTGAGAGGAGGCTCTACCCCAAGTGCATCCCGTCCTGCATTTCAGACACGCACACCACCAAAGCTCTGTTGACCTGGTCCGTAGTCACTAGGTGGCACTGCACAAATGAGCAGGTGGCAACTGTACACATGCCATGCATTACGCAGGTGACAATACGTGTACTTGCATACCTCTCTTTCATTGATGCTCGAAGTCAATTGACGTGGTCCTTGTGCAGGTTGGATCGCCAGATCGCAATCACTGCCTTGACAACCCACAGCGTTTTTGTTTAGCAGTATATGTGACCAATAAACATGGCTACAGAGGAATTACCAGTGACCAGCACGAGCGGCCAGGAGGACGTGGAGCCGATCGTGGGGCTCAAGAACTGCAAGCTAGTTAGCCAGGGAGCTGAGGCGGTGAGTTGCATGAGACAACATGAACTCGCTGCCGGATGCAAGCTCACATGCACATGGTGGGAGGTCTCTCGGTTGCCGGTCATGTGCTGCTGCCGCTCGCATGCCGCCGCCGCCGCATTCCATGCCACGCGGCACCCTCTTGCAGCGCGTGTGGGAGACGACGTTCTGCGGGCAGCCATGCATCGTGAAGCAGCGGTTCAGCAAGAAGTACCGCCACCCCGCCCTCGACAAGAAGCTCACAGCCACGCGGCTCAAGCAGGTGAGACACCATGCCAGCCAATGCCACGTGGAGCGCGCCACAGCCGGCACATCGGTCCGCAACAAACATCCGCAATGTCGCAGCAGCGACTCGCAGAACATGCGTCGCTGGCGCCTCCCGCGGTGCCGCCGCCGCGGCAACCCCCGCCTCTTTGCTTCTGCCACCTCGCAGGAGGCCCGAAGCGTCCTGCGCGCACGCAAGGCGGGTGTGCCTACCCCGGTCCTATATTTCGTGGAGGTGGAGAGCGCCAGCATATATATGGAGCGCATCACAGGGCGGTCCATACGGCACCTGCTGGGGGACGGCCTGCTGGACGCGGCAGGTGAGCAGACACAAGCTTCCGAAAAAGCTCATGTGTGTATAAGTGTGCGCGATTGCGTACGCGCGCGCTCGTGTGCGTGTGTGTGTGTGTGTGTGTGTTGGGGGGGGGGGAGGGTGAATGTGGTATCATGGTTGTTAAAATGCAGCGGGACAGCTTCGCTTTGGTTGCAAGGTTGGATTTTGTTCGCCGGAAAGCAGCCACAGCTGAGACTGTCGGCAGTGTGCCATAAGTATGGTCAGGGGCGCTCTGGCGGAGACGAGCAGCTGTGAGGTTGCTGCTGATGGAGTGTGGCACCCCGCTGCAGCATGGGCGCGCTGCTGGGCTTGCCATAATAACTGAATTAAATTGCGCGGGTGAGGGGAATGGGCGGGCCAACAACACGCCCGTGTGCCCGAGGGGCCGTGGCTCCAGCAGACCGCTCGCGCCCAGGCCCCCACTGCTGCTCGCATTCCAACGCTGCCCCACTCGCGACTTCCACGACCTCCCCCGGGGCAGGCACCGCGCGGGTGATGGCGGAGGTGGGGCGGCTGCTGGCGCTGATGCATGACGGCGGCCTGATACACGGGGACCTGACAACAAGCAACATGCTTGTCAGGGAGGTGGGTGCTTGCTGCGGTGTGTAGTATTGGTTTTTGCATGAGGCGGTGGAGTGGTGTGCGTTTGCGTTGCGTCCGTGAGTGCGCACGCGCGCACGCGTGTGTGTGTGTGTGTGTGTGTGTGTGTGTGTGTGTGTGTGTGTGTGCGCGCGCGCGTGCGCACGCGCGCACGCATATGCATGCATGTGCGCGTGCACGCGCGCATGTGTGGGTGGGGGTGCGTGTGTGCAAGCACGTGTGCCACAATCTGCCACTGATGTTCCAGCCATTCCATGGACCCTGATTTGGCGCAGCCGCCCCCTCCTCTGACCTTCAACCACCACCCCCCCCCCCTGCATCGCTCACCTGGCCCGATGCCGTGTTTTCTTGCAGCCTAGCCCAGCCTGCCACCTCTCCTCTAAGTCAGCAGCTTTGGCCCATAGCAATCCTGTCACCATCCCTCTTCTGGTTGCCAAGCATCAAAACTGTTGCGACACGCATATTCTGCTTCAAAGCACCTCCAAGCAACTCGGGGCTTCCTGCAGTCAACAGGCAAAGCTGCAGCACGCTGCACCCACTGCTTCGCCTCGATCCGCATCCCGACCACAGTCTGACGGGGCCGTGGTAATGATTGACTTTGGCCTGAGCTACAACAGCAAGCTGCCAGAGGACAAGGGCGTCGACCTTTACGTCATGGAGCGCGCGCTGACGTCAGCACACTCCCAGCTGGAGGGGCTGGTGGGTCCCTGAGGGTGCTGTTTTGAGGGGGCACGTACAGGGCATGTGTCGGTGGTGGTGGAGAATGATTGTGGGCAGGGGGGGCCACAAGGCAAGGGGAGATGGCCAGCCCATCACGCGGCGACACGAGCAGCGACAACCATAGCGCCGCCTTCCTCGCCGAGGCTACTCGGGGCGTCCATGCTCGCCCGCCCACACCGCGCTTTGCTCAGCACCGTCTGATTCGGCGCCCACCGCAACAATCCCTCGCCTCACCGCACCGCCACCAACCTCTCGCCTTGTCCAGTTTGACCAAATCCTGGAGTCCTACAAGAAGCACTCGAAGCAGTGGTCGGCCACGTTCAACCGCTTCGCAGAAGGTGTGTGGGCTGGGCATGCGTTTGAATGCCCGGTCGGCAGGGGGTGCAGGTGGTCAGTGGGGGAGGGAACACAGCAATTGAGTGCGGGCATCGGCAATCCTTCGGAATGGTGGTATTCCGTTGCAACGTGCGTGGCGAAGCTGCGCGGGGACAGTAGGTCTTGCGTTGCTGAACAAGGCCTTTGAGTGCAAGGCCCCATGGCAACTCGGCCGTTGGGGGCTGGCCAGGGGCGGCTGGTGGAGGCGGCCAGCTGCAATCAGGAGCGGCGCCCGTGGTATGAGTCGCCGCTGAAATCGCGGCTGTTGACAGGCCCACAAATCTGGGCTGAATGGTTACAGCGCTCAGCTGCACATCCACTGACCCTGCATTGGCTCGCCCTGGTCCCAACCCGCCCCTCCTTTCCTTTCAGTGCGGCTGAGGGGCCGCAAGAGGACGATGGTGGGGTGAGGCGCGGCGGCGGCCACGCGTCATTGATGTTGCTTCCATCCAACTTTCTTTGATTTAAACCCAATCTTGTTGTCTGTGTTATCCTGCTGGAGAGCAGTCTGTTTTCGAAGGTGAGCAGTCTGTTTTCTTCAGGTGGACCCGCCCTTGCTGCAGCCCCAACTGTCTGTCGAAGCTGCAGCACACTCTCGTAACGCGTGTGTGCACCATGCAACGCCCAGGTAACACGTTCCCTTGATCATTACAGCACACTCATAAACTCAGCTGCTGGCTGGTGCGCATTGTGATGGGATGTGCCAACTAGGGCTGGCATCTGCGCACGGCTTCCAGTCAAGACATGCACGACACAGGCAGCGATGACTTGCATGGAATGTGAACACAAGCCGTTTGGCTGCCACGCGAAGGCTTGGTGCATGGTGTACTACAACATGCACCAGGTAAAAGCGGCTGGATGGTGAAGGGATTGACAGGAAGCATGCCAGGTGACTGGACTCAATTGCAGACCCCCAGTCGTACGGAAAGGGCGTGCAAGTAGCATGCAAAGTGGTGGACACCCACAGATTGCACACACGTCCACCAAACTACGTAACCATGTTGGAGCTATGTGGCCACGCCCAGCACAACGGAGTCAGCCAGTTGTTGGTCAACAAGGTGACATGTTGCACGAGACGAGTTGAAATTTGAAAGAACCCACGTAAACATTTTGCATCATCAATCCAGTGACACTTGGGGGCTGTGACACGAGGCCGAGGTGCACCATGGCAGAGCCTGCAACAGTATCCTGCACAGATTAATGCGCTGCAGCAAGCAGCACTCTGAACTCCAGACCTGCCACGTGGCCCACCAAGACAAAAAGTGCCGGCCTGTCTAACGGGGCCAACCGGTGAAGCCACCACCCAAAGAAATCAACTATACGAATGGGGTGGTCAGCCCCTGACAACCTCTTGAACAGCAACATCTCCTGTGCTGCTCCCGCTGCTTCAAAAGCAACATCCCCTGCACTGCTCTTGCCCGCAATTGCACGAACACCCGCAGCCGCCCCGCTGGCGCGCCGAACTCAGCCCCTCTCGCGCTTGCCGCCGCCTGCCCCGCGCCTGTCGCCGCCGCCGGCGGCGCGCCTCTTCCAGCGCGCGTCCCCCCTCGGCGGCTGCGGCGCCGGCCGGCCCGCCCTTGTGCGCGCGGCCTCGTCTTCCAGCAGCTGCGCCAGCGCCCGCATCTGCAGGCGGGTCTAGGTGCGAGTTGCGTGGCAAAACGGAGGCCGTCGCGTTGCGATTGTGGGTGTGCGATTGACGAGAGACAGGTACACCGGTGTGTCAGGAGAGCGGGCTGATTCCAGCAGGGACTCTCAAAGCTCATGCAGCCAGGCAGGGCCCACAGCAGCACACGCCCGGGGGGAAGAGGGGGAAGGGACTGCCTGAGCCGCCCCAAGTCATGTATAAAGGGAGGACCTGACGCCTCTCAAGAGGACAGGCAAACAGATTGCTTCGCCTGCTGCCGACCGCGTCTCTCGGGCCCCCAGAGGCCCCGCAGACGCGCGCACAACGCTCCCCCATAGTTGCAGCCTGCCGCTTCCGCACCCGAGGCGTGACGTGTTCGGCGGTCACTTCATCCCCAGGCAGAAGTGCCCCCAGCAGTTGTTCGTTTGAACGCTGCGACATGCTCTCGCTCGGCCGCTCTGCAGCCAACGGATCCGGCGGCAGCAGCTTCTCAGCAGCTGCCACCTCATCCTTCTCAGTCGCAGCTGCGGCTTGTGCTGGTCCTGCCGTGGACGCTTGGCCACCATCAATGCCTGGAAGCTGCTGAGCATCGCTGCCGCTCTGCCGCCGGCTGGCAGGCCTGCCGGCGCGCCTTCTGGGCGCAGCGGCTGCAGGCGCCGCGGCCGGCAGGCCCTTGACCTGGCAGTGTGCCTCTTCGGCATCCTCGCCCTCGCTGTAACTCTCCAGCCCAACCTCGACCTCACGATGCTGCCGCCGCCTCCCACGCCGCCCGGGTTCCAGCCCTGCTGCTGGTTGGTGCTGCGGCTGCAGCCCAATGACGCCCCCCTCACCTGTGTCCAGCCTGCCCCTCTCGGCGCGCCCAACTCCCACATCCCCCCATCCAGCACGGCCGCCGCCTCCTCCTCGTTACCTTCTGCATCCGCATCCCTCCTCCGTGCCTCAGGCCTGCCGCCGCCTCGCCTTCGCGTGGCGTGCCTGGTGCGGCGCTCCTTTCCAGAGGAGCCGGGAGCGGCGGCAAGCGCTCCGCCGCTGCCATCACCGCCGTCTCCGCCGCCCTTGCTGCCGGGGCCAGCGGCCTTCTGAGCGACCGCCCAGTCGCGCAGCTCGGCTGCAGATAGTGCGGCGGCGGCGGTGGCAGCGGCGCGGGGTTGTGAGGGTCCCGCGGCGCCCAAGAAGCGGCGCACCCGGCTGCAGGGCTGGGAAGAGAGCTGGATGACCTGGCGGCGAGGCTGGGGGAAGCTGCCCTCCGCCATCCTTTGAAGCTGGGGCTTGGGGGTCTGCAGTGTTGGTTGTTGAACGGTCGAGTGCAATTGTCAAGGCAAATTGATGGAAGCGCTCTGCTGGAGCTTTGTTGATATTCAAGTGTGATTGTTGCAGGTATGGGGATGGGGGATGTGCCAGGTGGTTGTGCCTTGAAGAAGGGGGTTGGAGGAGCAACTTGCAGGGATAAAGATGGAAAGCAGGTACTGACTAACGCTCTACTGAGAGTGCTCATGACACTGCTCAAGGTGCAGCATGCATGCATAGGGCCGAAACAAAGCAGGACATTGGCTTTCACAGGCACACCTGAATAATGTTTGCTCAGGGGAAAAAGTTTCAACACAGGCTGCAATTTGCAGCACCAGCAGTTGGTGGCCGCAGCCCTTGATTGACCCACCCCCGTCGTGCGTCCAAGGCGTGAGAGGCCGAGCCGGGCGATGACGTCATCATGGCTGGGGGGTGCGACACCGGTGACGGCTTGCTGCAGCGCTGCAGCGTCGTGGGGCGCCAGGCCCCAGTCTGTGAATGAGCATGGTGGCGTGCGCATGGGTAGACTCAAAAAGTGCAAGTGGGGGAGGGTCGGAGGAACATTGTGTGAGGGGGCAGCCAGGGCGAGCTGCCCTTGGGCAAAGAAGCACACAGCAACGGAGGGTACCCTCTGGCAAATAAAGGGGAGCAGCGGCAGAAACTTGAGGGAGCACACAGGCGATGACCCCATCAAAACGCGCACCGGGTCACAAACAAGCAGCAGACGCGCACTATCCACCCAACCCGCCGGCAGCGATGACGGACGGCAACTGGCTGCCCAGCGGCCGTTTGCCTTGGAACAACCAATTGAACCCTGCACACACGCACACAGCACTTATGCAGCTGCCAATTGCAGCTGTGAGCCCCAGGCACCTCGCACCTGTGTTGTTGAAAAAGACGTACATCTGCTGCGCTGCGCTGCGCGTGTCGCCGCCAGAACCCGTTATGACGTCATGGGCCACGCCCGCCCACTGGCAGGGGTGCATGTGGGGCTTCAGAAAGGTTGCGAGGCACACACACGGGCAGTGCACACGAGTGATCACAGCATGTTGCTGCAACAAACGCAGAAGCAACGCTGACTAGGCGCTCAGCAGAGTTTGTGCGCTCATCAGGGTGGAGGGGTGTTAGGGTCGATCAACAACACGTGCACGTAAGAAGAGCTGCGCAACCGTCGGAGTGACTCCACCGCAGCCGCTGCTGCGTTCACCTGCTGGATCTCTGCAGCAGTGTAACCGCTGGAGGGGCGGCAGTTCGCAATTGGTGTTTAGCCGCTAGCTAGTAAGTAAATGGCTGTCAGCCATTGAGAGCAACGGGCAGCTGCATAAGGTCCCCGGGACGGGCACTCTAGCTGTGCATTTGATCACAATCAAGGCAAGAGAACACAGGCAACAGATTGCATGTTGAGCCCAACAAATGGGGGCTGCGTGCTGCCATGGTAAACAGCCAGTCAACGTGAGTCAACCCCCTACAGCGCTGCTGCTGACCTGCAGTAGGTCTCCCAGTTGCCGTGCAGCCGCACGTACACCAATGCATCGCTCGTGTCGATCTGAGGGCGCATACATACACAACAGCCCCACCAAACCGCAGGCGGCAAAGTGTTGACTCATGACGGCATGCACAGCCAGGCGCATGATTCATCCGCCTGCCGGCCGCGCCGGTGGGTCGTTCCACCGGGCAAACACAGGTGGATGGGTGGTCGGGGATGCACAAGGATACGTATGCATCAGCACGACAGGGAGCTCGCACCGCGGCGGCTGCCCGCCCCGCGTCTCGCCCTGCTCACCCGGTGGAAGCAGTGCCATGAGCCCGGGGCCGCCTCTGAAATGCAGCAGGCGACGTTGTGGAGGCGCAGCAGCTCGTAGAATTCGTCGCAGTCCCGGGAGGGGTGACGGGGCTGCGGTGCGCATGCACATGCGCAAGTGCAGGGGTGCCGGCGCAACATCGGCTGTAAGCGGTCGGCGGGCAATGGGGCGCGCGAGGGCGTTGGTGATGCGCTGCGTTGTCTGCCACCCTGACTGCTGTCGGACTTTTGAGCTGCCAATGTGTGTAAACTCAAGCCCTCCTCATCACGACAAAGCATTACCTACCTTCTACGCAACAATGCCCACACCAAAGTTTGACGGCTGATGATGACCCATGGTTGCCCACCCAAGCGCGTGCCTCAGATGACGCAAGCACGCCTGCATACATGTACGAATGTGTGCACACCTCAAAAGCGTACTGGATGGGTGTGGAGGGGTCCACGCCAGCAGGCAGGGACGTCACCGCCTCGCGGCCCCGCTTCGACAGGTGCTGCGACACGTGGCGCAGCGTTGGGCAGGATGCCTGGGAAGGGCCAGTCGAGCCGGATCCAGTGCTTGCACACACGGCTGTCAGGTCCCTCGAGCGGCAGGCCAGCGGCCACCCAGGGATTGGGTGGTTCCAGATCCATTGCAAACTCCTATCGATGGGGCAGCTTCTGCATGATCCAAAACCTGAATTAACCAACAGGTGTGCCGCCCTCTACGATCGTCTACAGCAGTTTTGTTGGGCCTACACACGCACACGTGCGTGACCCCCAAATGGGCCCGCTTGCGCACCTGGTGGCTGCACCCCTCCGCCAGCTCAGCCGCCTGGCCCAGCGTCTTTGGCAGCAGCTCCAGAAACAGCGCGGCCCTCTGTGCGTTGAAGCGGAACTTGGGGTCCAGCTGCCACAGGATGGGGCCGAGCTTGTCCCCAAGCTCGAAGATGCCTGGCGATGATGAGCGTGTGTACGAGGTTACGCGTTTATACTTGCCGTGGATATGTATGTGTTGCAAGCAGCAATGTGTTGACAGAATTTCATGGTGTTTGGAAGGGTCGGTTGTTACTGGGCGGCCGGTCGCAGGGTATGCATGTTGGTCAAGGTCGCGGACAGATCTGGAAAGCTGGCGCAGCCAATGCGGCGTGCAGGGTATCCAACATGCGTCTCGCGCGGATCTGCATGTGAGGGCAAGAGCAGTGCTGCAACAACTGGGGCTTCGAGCGTGCGGGTGCGCTGCACAATATTTGTCATCGGAGCAGTGACGCGCGCGCTTGTCCCGTGCGCTGTACCCTGTGCATAGAATGTGGCCAGGGCCTGCTCCGCATTAAGCAGCTTTTTCTGACAACGTGTACGTACGCAAAGAGTGGTGGGCACAAGCGGGGGGAGATGTTCGAGCTTGAGGGGCTCAGTGAAATGAAAACAGGAAGCTGAGGGGTGGTGGGAGGTAGAGATGGGTGGCCGACGAGGGAGACATTAGCTTTGGTTGAGCTGGGGGCAGGACGGCAAGGCCCAGGAGTGATCGGCTACTCACGACCTCCCCTTGTGCTCCATGCCCCCTGGGCAGAGATGCACCTGCGGGCGTCCCGCAGCAGCGCCTTGCAAGCATCTGATCCCTTGACCTCACTCTGTCAAGACGCGTGACCCGCCCAGTTGAAGGCAGCAACACCACACCCCAAGCACCCATGTGCGTGGCAACCCTTAAAACGCGGCAGGATGATAGGTGCACCGGTCACGCTCATCAAAGCAATCACAGCAAGACCCCATTCGGCGCCCCCTCCACGTATGGCCCCACCGATAATGGCTAGAAAAGTCCACAGCCCCACCCACGCCTCACCCCAGCCAATCACCATGTGTGTGATGTACTTGTGGCCCTTGATGGCGATCTTGAAGCCGGGGGGCGTCGAGTCGCGCCACTCACGAACTGCCTTGGCGGTGACGGTGCCGTAGCTGACGTGTCCATCGAGGTCAATTGTGTTTTTTTTGGGGGGGGAGAGGGAAATAAAGGAGCGCCACAGCAGGGGCGGCATGAATGGGCGATGTTTGTACAGTCTTCCCCCGCTACAGCGAACCCATCGGGGGTCGGCGGCGCGTTCGCTATAGCCGGCTTGTTCGCTATCGCGAAAAGTGAAATTGGGCAGCTGCTGTTATTGGGGGTAGCGGCGGCGTTCGCTGTAGGCCGGGTTTTCGCTATGGCGGGGTTCGCTGTAGCGGGGGAACACTGTACGGCTAAGGGAGTCGAGGCGGAGAGCGACTAAGCGTACGTACGCCCAGCGCGGTCGCCGAGTGCCAACTCGCAGCTGCCCACCACACGGTCGCCAGCCTCGCCCAGCCGCGGCGGCGGGCACACGGACAAGCAGGGGCGCCTGGCGGGTTGGGAGGCTCGTGCCTCCCCAGTGAGCCCCCTGGCCCGCATACGCCCACACAGCGCGTTGCAGCCGCACTCCGCCCGCTCACAATGTGCCGTTGACGTCAAGTGTGTTGAAAACCGATGCGTACCACTCCAGTTCACGCTTCTTGGGCAGCACGTCTTGTGGTGTGTTGTGCATATTTGGGAGGGTTGATTGAGGCGGTGGTTGCCAGCAGGAACCAGGGGATCGAGTGTACTGGGGATTATTGGGTAAGTCATCATGACGGAGCAGAGCTTGCTTGTAATTTGGGTGCCATTTGTTGCCATGGCGCTTGCTATTTGTACTACTGCCACCAAAGCTGTGTCAGACAGCAGGTATGCGGCAACCCAGGAGCACACGGGTTCTGTCGCGTCACCACAGGACACAGGCAAGTCCTGCACAAGTTGGTGGGTCAATGGCAGGAGTGCTGGATATCAAATGGTGGGCGGGATAGGAGTGCGAGGGAGCTTAGCTCGAGGCTGCTGCAGTGGAAGCATACCTGGGTAGAACGGGGCGTCATCCAGGCAGCCCTCTCCCCGCCAGTACACTGCAGGGCAGGTGGGCAGGCCGGCATGTTGTGGCAACCAGATTGTATGCACGCCGCGCGCCAACAACAGGGTTCACATGCACGGGCGTATATCGACAGCTACCGGCGGCTTGACCGCCTGCAACTTGGCTGTTGCCAGCCGCGGCCACCCCTGCCCACGATGCGTGTTCCCGGACAACATTTATCACCAGAGCAACACTCACTGTAGCCCTGCCAGCCCGAGACGCCGCAGTAGAGGCCGTTGCGAGCCGCCGCCCAAGCCGCAGCCGAAAGCTCCGGCGCCATGACCAAATCGGACCCTCGTGCCCGCGCCGGCGAGACCGCCGTCAGGGCCTGTGAAGCCGCAGCACATTGCGGGCAAGTGGAGTAAGAGGTTATGAGTGTGGCAGAGTGGCGCGAGCATTGTGTGAAGTCCTGTTGTTCGGGAGCGCGGGGTGTGTGTGTGTGTCTCAGTGTCAGGCTGACTCCGTCAGCAAAGCGGCGCCCCCACTGCCACCATGGCGCGGCAGCGAGCGACCCAGGTTCGTGCAGGTGCATCAAACAACAGGAAAATCGCGCCTTAGGCAACCCCCAATCGTGGTGATGATGGGATCTAGGAGTGCTCACGGAACCTTGTATACATGTCATAACAGTGCGCACGGGCAAGCATACGTGATACAAAAGCTTTCATGGTATAAGACGCACTACTGAAAAGGTCAGGTTGGCTCACCGACACAGCAGTCTCGAAGGTGCCCGAAGCCAGGCCGGTCAGCGGACGCGCGCAGCAGCGGAGCGCGAGCGGCGCCTACCAGCGACACAGCACGGCGCTCATGACATTGTCTCAGAGCTGTTTTCCAAGGGACCTTGTTACAGATGAGATATATTCAGGCCGAATGGACAGCTATGCAACATCTACTGTGGCTCCATCGCGCTGGTAGTGTGCTGGGTGACGTCATCGGCCCCCTGGCACGCGCTTTCCGTGTTCACAACTCGTGAAGGGCGCTCGTTGGGGCACTGAACATGGTGTGCACAGTCATGCCACGCTGCCGCGAAATCTGCTGCACATGTGATCACAGCCGCTGCCAAGGTGATCGTCAACCCCGGCACCGCAAGCCGCGTGTTTACAAGGAGATTGCTGCCATGCCCAGGGCAAGCGTGCCTTGCTTTCAAGTCTGCTAAGGTGAGGTCCCTGGTGCGCATGGGCGCACAGCGAGGCAGCGGAAAGGGGTTCGCGGGGGGACCATCTCTGCATTAGGGGAAATCCGGGCTCAGAGCGGCAGCATGCATGTGCTCTGGGGGGCAAAAAGCACCCCTGTCGACCACAAACGGTGGCGGGAAAGGCGGCAAGCAGTGTCTGCGCGATGCAAGGGACACGACCACGGATCAATTTTTCCATTAGCTAGTCTTGGATCGTGCAGGTGCAAACGGTTGAATTCGCAGCCATGACAATAGCAGATTCCATTGCTTGTTTGTCGGCCATGATTATCTCCAAGCAATAGTGTGCTGTGGGAATTGGGCGGAGTGATGAGTGGCAACACGCGGTCAAACGCCTTGCGCTGCTGCCTCCTGCGCAATTTTGTAAGTGAACACACATGCGCATGGCCACGCCCACGCACCCAGCCATCGCTGCTACCGCATGATTCGCGCCTGAATTGAAGCACCTGTGCTAAATTGAGGCCTCTGGCCCAGGGTCGCCTTCGCTTGACCACCCCACAGCAGAGAGAGTCACATCAGACGAGAACAGATCAGATCAGGAGTACCATGCTTTGCAGATCCACATCGCGTGCTTCAGCCGTGCGGAACCGCCATAGAGGTTGTCAGTGGAAGGTGATTTTCGGGCGCGCCCGTGCACTGCGCTCCACTACCAGCCAGGAGCTCAAGGAATTTCCAGGCAATGAGCCATGGGTGCAGCCCCACCGAACTGGCGGCCTCCGCCGCAGCCGCGGCTGCACAACATGTGCAGGCGCATCGAGCGCCACCTCATCCGACGACCACAAATGTCCCGTCCCCACGGGGCTGCAGCACGGTGCCGGCAGGAAGCCCGACAGTCGGCGCGGCGCCGGCGGCTGCGGCGGGCGCCGCGGCGCCCGCGGCCACCACGGGCGCCGCGCCGCTTGGTGCCGCGACGGGCGGGCCCACTCGCAGTAGGTCCAGGACCGTGCAGCTGACAGGCCGCGGGTCCGGAGCGCCCCAAGCCCTGAAGATGTTGAGGCAAAGGGAAGAGCGGCTGGGTGCAGCATGCACACTGGTGCAGAGTTTTGCAAGGGTGTCAAGGACTTGCACGAACGCATGCGCGCGTACACACACATGCACACATGCGCACATATACAAACACACAATACACGCAATACATGCAAGCACGCGCACACACACACACACACACGCACACGCACACACACGCACACACACACATCCACATCCACATCCACATCCACACACACATTCATGCATGCACAGAAGCACAATCATGAGCCCCACCCCAGACCCAAAGCCACCAAAAGACACTCAATCCCTCTCACCTGAGCACGTCCTGCGAGGGATAAAGCCGCTTTGCGCTGTTGCGCGAGTCATACCTCCAAAGCCCAGGGCACCGAGGCGAGTCGCCAACCAGGGTCGCACCATCCGCCACCGGCGTCGCACCGGGCTTCATCACTGCCGCCGCTGTCGCTGCCGGTGCTGCCATCGCCGCCGGCTGCTGCTGCCGCCGCTGCCGCTGCCGCTGCCGTCCTGTGGCCGGGGCCGTCGTCGCCGTCGGCGTCGCGGCCCGCGTCGCTGCCGGCGTCGCCGCGGGCGCGGCACCACGCTTGACCGCCGCGGCAGCTGCTGGCTTCGCCGGAGCAGGCGAGGGCGAGGCAGCCGGCGACGGCGACGGGGACGGCTTGGGGCTGGGGGCAATTTCCTGGGTTCCTGGGCGGATGGGCGCTACGCGTGGGAAGCTGCTGGGCGGGATGCCTCCCGACAAGGAATTCGGCGCCGCAGTCGTGGCCGGCAGCGCCGGCAATGGCGCAGGTGCTGTGGGCTTGGGAGCCGACGCGACGGGCGGCGGGGCCGGCGCAGGCGCTGGCCCCGGCACGGGCGAGGCGGCGGGCACCGGCGCCGGCGCAGGTGCCGGCGTGGCGCCTGGCGGTGGCGGCGGTGAGGCCGGCGGCGGGGGCGGCGGCGGGGGTTTGGGGGATGCGCCGGGGACCGGCGAGATTGGGACGAGGCCCGGCACTGGGGCCGGCGTCGGCGGAACGGACGTATTTGCCGGCGGCACGGACGTATTCGCCGGCGGCGGCGGCGGCGGCGGCGGTGGCGGCGGCGCAGCGGCCGCGGGGGCGCCTGCAAAGGTTGGGCCGTCGAGCCAGGGCGCGGGGCCGGCGACCAGCTTCAGATTTGGGTGGCATCAGAGCATTCAGGAAGCAAAGACTTGCTTCATGCAAAGCGCTCCAAGTGGTTGCGCAATGCACAGCCAGGTGGTGCAGTCACAAGCATGCAGGGGTGCTCAAGAGCGATCAAAGCTGCTGCCCCAACTGTCCCCGGCCCGCCCACCGGGTGCTGGCGACGCGGCCGGCGGCGGGGGTGGTGGCGGCGGCCGCGGCGGGGTCGGCGGCGGCGACTGCGCCGCGATCTGGCGCAGCGCCCTCGTGCTCGCTGCGCCGGCGGACGCGCTGCCGCTCAGCGCCGCGGGGCGGCCGCTCGACAGGCTGCCGGTGTTTGGCCATGCCGCTCCGTCCGCTTGTGCCGCCGCTGCACATGAGGGAGTGCGTGTCGGCAGGGTGACACCTCTGAATGATACGTCAAGGTCCCCTGAACCCTCCGCAAATTTCTGCCAGGTGCAAGCTGCGTGCCTCGGCGCTCAGCAAGGCCCATGAGTGCCCCTCTGCAAGCGGCATGATGGCATCTCCATCGACCCACGCCACGGTATCGTGGCAGCCTCTTTGGCCCCCACCCGCCCACGCCCACATCCCCCAATCAACGCCAGGCTGGTGGCCCGATTGCATTTTTGTGGTCGCGGGCGGCGTCAATCCGCATGCGCCGGGGTGCTCATTGTGCCAGACGCAGCGAGGGCGGCGCTCGCCCCAGTGCAGGCGCATGTTGGCACTTGGAGCCCAGTGTGCCGTTGCGCACCTCCTGCAAAGGCAATAGACGCCACGAAAACTATTGCTGCCAACATCCTGGTACCGCAGGTCGCGTTCACGCCCGAAGAAACGAACGCGGCTGCCATCTCGTTCATTATCATGGGTTCATGGTGACGGGTGATTCGCTGTGTACAACAGCGCCGTGGATATCATTCTCCCCCTACTGCCAAGGCGTTCAGCCTTGGCCGCTGCAGCGAGCGCAATGGCAGGTGCCCTCCGGTGCCGCCGACGCCGTGAAAGTGACGCACGTTATCAAACAACCCACAACGCTGGTCCCAGAGATACGGATGCTGATTAGAATTATCTCATAGCACATAGCTTACTGTAGACGCATAGCCCGCATGGTTCGAGCCCTGCAGTCCCAGCGCGCAAGGGTGTGTGCTGTGTGGCTCAGTGACTGGCAAGTCCTGGCAACGCACCTCTTTGCCGCACCCGCACGGCACGCGCTGATCCGTTCCAGCGTAACTTTGAAGTTGTAGCCTATGTCACATCTCCAGTGCCGCGCCTCATGTGTTACCATACGCACTGAAGCCGTGATGAAAAGCTCGCGTGCGCAGCTGCAGCAGCGGCAGCCGCGCAGCACCAGCTGTACGGCATGCCGGATGGGGCATTCAACAGGGCACAGACAAGCACATTGCACAGCCGCGGGGGACAAAGACCATGTCACAGGGCAAGGCTATGGTGCACCAGGGCAAGGAGGTTGGGCGGGAGGGGGGCCCCATGCCAGGGCAGCGGCGGGGCCAAGCAGGGGGCGCAGCACACGTCACAAAGCCACAAAGAGGCGTTCCAAGGGGCAAGCTGCGGCTCGCGTGACGCTAGAGCCGCGGCAGCGGCGGCATTGGGTCTTGAGTTTCAAGAAGGAATGCTGTCATCTCAAAGCAGTAGGCGCCGCGAGATGAGTAGATTTAGTAAGAGTAGGAGATCTAGGAATTACGCCGAGTCAGGCCTGCGCGGCGCTGTCGGTTGGCGCACAGGCAAACTGTGGCCGCACGCCGCGCCGAGCGCCTGGCGAACGGGTGCCCTTGTTTAAGGTCGGTGCAGGCCCAGTGTCCCCGTGCAGCCAAGGATTGGTGTATGGGAACTCCGTAAGCCACAGCATTGGCGCACACAGCACACGTGCCCCAACCAGTACACGCTTCGCTTGAGGCGAGCGTTGGCTGCGTGTGATGTCAACCCTCAGGGCGCCTCCCCATGGCGCTCGTAAAAAAACGCCATGCCTCAATTAATGCGCGCGCCCGTGCTGCCTGCAGGTCGCAACAGGCCGCAATCAATGGCCCGAAACACAGGCGCGAATCGACATTCTGATATCACGTACCCAACAGATGCCACACCTGCTCGCAGTAAAGGTAACAAAAGTCGCTACGCCGTCGCGCGCCTGCGCCTGGGCTGCCGCAAGAGCACGGTGCCACTCAGGCGAGGGCCCCCAACAGGCAGCCCCCAGTGCCCGGCTCAGCTGCCCTCATGTAGCATCCTCCTGGTGTGCCGCCTCCGCCGCCTCCGCCGCCGCTGCCGCCGCCGCCTTTGCCCAGCGGCCGGCGGCTGCGCCGCCGCCGCGGCGGGCGCGGCTGGGTCTTTTACGAGAGGCAGCAGCGCAGACTTCAGAGCGGCTGCCGGGTCCGCCGCAACCTGGGCCGGCGCCAAGGGCGCCGCTGCCGCGGCGGCGGGGTCTAGATAATTGAGGGGCTCGCCAGTCGCGAGCAGGGACAGCACGTTGCAGCTGACAACTTTGGGCTCTGGTGCGCCCCAGGACCTGCGCCGTGGCAATGGGTGGGGGGTCGGGTGACTGTTGGTGGGATCGGCGCAAGCATTTTGGTAGTGGATGCCATGAGACCATGAGAAAAGGGTGGAAGCATGCGCAGTTTATATAATCAACGTTTGCCTGCGCGCCCCATGGGATGCGCTGCATGAGGGCCCCGAGGGAGAAGCCCAAAAACCACGCCGTCAGGGCATGACAAGCCGTCGCCGGTGGTGCTGCGCCACGTGCTGCGCGCTCCATTCCGCAGAGCGTTTGACAGCCTGCCACCTTCCCTCCCCCTCGAACGCACGCTCACACATACACACACAGCACAAAACAAATACACACACATACACAGATACATACATACACACCTCAGGATGTCTTGCGAGGGGTACAGCTGTTTGACGCCACGCACTGCGTCATACCGCCACAGCCCCGGGCAGACTGGCGCGTCTCCCACGAGCGTCGCGCCGTTGGGCACAGGTATGGCGCCGCTGATCAGGGCCGCAGTCGGCGCGGCCGGCGCGATGGGCCCGCCGACTCCTGGCGCGGGGCTCCTGCGCCGCCTGCGGGCCGCCGCTGTGCTGTTCCTGGCCACCCTCGGCCTGCGCTTGGGCTTCGGCGACGGCGACGGCGGGACGCCGCCGGCGGCGCCGGCGGCGGCCTGGCGGGCCAGCGTGGCCTCCAGCGTCGGCACCGGCCCGGCGGGCAGGACGGGCGCGACGGGCGCGACGGGCGCGACGGGCGCGACGGGCGCCGGCTGCGGCAGCGGCGGCGGGTCGTCCTGGGGTGTTGGCAGCAGCGGCTCGCTGCTCGCCTTCACAAAATCAGACGACGGCGAGCGGGACGGCGGCGGCGGCTTCGTCGGCGCCACCAGCCCCGGCGGCAGCGGGGCCGGCGTGGTCGGCGCGACCGGCAGGATCGGGGGCGAGCCGGACGCGTTTGGGGGCGCAGGCACGCCCATCGCCAGGGGTGCGCCCTGCGGCGGCGGGGTCGCCGGCCGGGCGGCTGTGCCATTCAAAGCTGCGTAGCCGGGTCTGACTGCAGGGTTGATCGCGGGGGAGGGACGGCGGAGGGGAGAGGGCAGCTCGTCAGGGATTGTCAGGAAGCGCGGCGAGCAACCGAACAGGCGTGAAGTTCGCGTGGGAACTCAAGCGCTGACATCAGCACGCCCACCCCAGCCGTCCGTGCCTGCTGCGGCCGACTCGAGTGCAAAAGCCGGACGCATTCACTCCCCTGTCCTTCCCCCTGCACACCTTCCATGGGAGGGCCGCTGGGTATATTGTTCTGGAGCTCATCGCACTTGAGCACGGTCGGGGTGGCGTGCGGCGCCCACGAGTCGTACACCGTCTGAGAGTCGTAACGCCTGCAGGGCGCGGCCGAACATGATTCGAATCAACTTGGCGCGGGGATCAGGCTGTGCGGGGACCCGTCGCTCGGACGGGCACAGGCAGCTGCTTCCGTGCCTGCCCTGCTCGAGCCGCTGCTGCTTTGCCAGTGATGCTGGCGAGGGGCCGCGCCTGCTCGCCCGCACCTCTTGACGCCGCCCATCCACCGCCACACGGCGTCGCATTGCTTCAGGTCGAGCGTGCAGCCGCACACCAGCTCTGTGCCCTCGGGGAAATCTGCGCGGCGTATGCGAGGGCGGGTGAGGGCGCTGTTTGTGGCGTGTGCAGCGGGGCCTTCCTCACAGCGTTCCCCCCTCGTGACCCCAGTGGAGCTGCGGAGGGGTACGCCCTGCTTGCGCTGCTTTGCTATGCCTGTATAACGGACAACAGAGATGGGTACTACCCTGCGAGAGCTGACGGGCTCATGTGTGGAGGCAGGTGACATGTTCACGGCTGGTTCGCGGTTGCCGCGCACCTGGCGCCGCATGCGCCACGGCCGCCGCAAGCAGCAGCCAAAGATGCCAGGCACGCATCTGCGATAACCTGGGGAAATTATGAGGAGTTCTGTGTAGTATACGCGAGAGCTTCACTGTGGCATGCGTGTGGCCAGCTGCTGCCAACGACACTTTTATAACATATTCACCCTCGATTCACCTTTCCTTGACGCCGTCGAGCCGGGTAGACAGCGACCAACGCTGTGACCGCGCGCTGGCCGGACCTCTCCCAGTTTTGTGTAGAAACGGGTGCGCGGCCCGTGAAAAGAAGGCAAAGTGCTTTATAACGTGTTATCGTGCCATTTGACCGCCAAGGGGTCACGCCGACAGCCCGCGTGCGTGGCTCCGCATCGTCGATGATTGATGGGGGACTCTACGGAGAGGCTGGGTACAAGTCAAATGTTGGCGCAGCACATGTCACATCAATAGAGGAAGGCCAGCTTGCAGTTTGCACTGCGGCCTCGTGCCTCGCGTGCGCCTGTGCAAGCAGCTGCTTTGCTTCGGTGCCGACAGCCTGCAGGCACTAGTGTGCCCTGTGCCGGCCACCTGTTTTGGGTACCCGTCGGGGCTCTGCTGCCCATGTGTGCCCATGACTCCCGCATTAATGCATACAAATGGGATCGTGCTCATGCGGTATTCATTGCGATGAGGCAGGCGGCTGTTGGTGTTCCCGTTGACAGCTGCTCTCACGCTCTGCCAAACAGATTGCTGAGGGAGTGGCCCAACTTCCCCAGACCACCGAGACCTTGTCGCAAGACCTGCTGCAGAGCATGGTCTTTGCATGACGTGGTGTGTGTCGCTGCGCCCCAATCACCACTGCGATGCGTATCGCGGGACTCGGCAGTCGAGGCTACCGCATGTGATCAATTACACCCCAACCTGACTATTGTCCAACGTAACAAGTGGATGTTTGCCGTGCATGCCTGTTCATTGATGAAGCGATGCCACCCGTCACTAAATCAATTCAGCTTGTCAAGTGGATGGCTGCGTCTGGGTCCGAGTCTGCTGCTGCTGCTGCTGCTGCCCGCTCGAGCTGCCAAGCGCCAGTGCGCCCGCTCCCGGCCCGCTGCCTGCAGCCCCCACCGCCGCTGGTTCCAACACAACTGCACCCCCGACAGCGGATGATGTCACCGATGCCACCTGGCTTGCAGCCGTCGCCCCCGCTGCCCCCGCCAGCCCCCCAACGCACGGGCACAGCCGGCGCATGTGCTGCTGGCTCGACGAACAGCTAAACCCCGCAGACGCCGCGCCCGGCGTTGCCGCCGCCGCGTCCGCTGCCGCCGCCGCCGCCGCCGAAAGACTGCGCGCCTGCCCGCCAGCCCCGCGGCCGGCGACGCAGAGCGCCGGCCGGTCGGCTTTTGGCGCATCGCCATCTGCATAGTACGGCATCACCCCCACCCGGGGCTCCTCCACGCAGCCCGCCTCGCAGGCCGCGCTCTCCCGCAGCCGGTCGCAGCTGTCCAGCAGGGCCAAGTGGCGCGGGGAGCACGCGCGGCCGTGGCGCTCGCAGGTGGCGTCGCAGGACGACCCCGGAGCGCCCAGCGCGACAGCCACGCCCGCCAGGGCGCCCGGCGGTAGCGGCGGTGACAGCTGCAGGCACGGAGGGGGCGGGAAGGGGGGACAGTCGGGGCCGAAGGGCGTCGGGGCCGGGCGGCCGTACGGGGTTCTGCTTGCGCTGCAGCGCCGGCTCTCTCCAGTATGGCTCCAACGCCTCTCCAACGCCTCTCCCGTGCCCCCATGCCGCACACGCTCCCCACACCCAGACAGCCCCGCCGGCGCTACCCCTGAGCCCCGCCACCCTGGGCCCTGCTGGCGCCCGCGCACCCACCATCGGCTTCCCGAGCTTGGAGAAGCAGTGGTGGCGCGGCGAGATGTAAGCGTTCTCGTGGGCGGTCGAGTAGCGGTGCGTGCGGCAGACGGCGGCGCACAGCTCAAACTCGGATTGCCACGTGCCAGAGGCCTTCTTGCCCGGCACGCGGAAGACCTGCGGGCGAGGGTCGCCGCGGTGTAAGGCACACATGCTGGTGGGTGGCAACCACACTGCATGAGGAGCTTTGCATTGGGACACAAATGGGATGCCGGCACTCGAAAACCACGTTGAAACACGCTAATGCGTACTTTTTGACACACAGCACGTGGTGGTGTTGCTGAAGCCAAGCGCCAGCTGCTGCAGCACCCGCTCCACCCCTCCCCACACGCAAGATGCGTGGCGGCGGCGCGCGCCTCCCACCTCTGGCAGCCTCTCCTTGGCGCCGTGGCCGGGCTCGAGGCAGCACGAGACGCAGGACTCGTAGCCCGCGCAGCAGCGGTCCCGCAGGTCGCACCTGCTCACAGCGTGCCGAGGTGGCGCGGGAATCGTAAGCTCAAACCTCTTTCTTGACAGTATCATCAAATAACGACGGGCTACCATATCACAAAATCTAGTTGTACGGTGTGAGAAGGACCCGCATCGCTCGAGCAACAACCCACGGCGGGTGCTGCGCCTCTACCCTTCCCTCCAGCACCATCGCCCCGCTCACGTGCCGCAGGAGTGCTTAGCGCCAGTACGGCAGCAGCCTGTTTTGTGGTTGAGGTCCGACGCCTTGCACAGCAAGCCGCGGTCATCGGTAAACTCGTGGCTGCACGCGGGCAGTTGAACGGGCAGCCCAAAGGGGATGTTGGGCGGCAGGAAGGGTCAAGCTGTTGACGAGTTGCGTGTCGTGTACGCGGGTTGCGTGAACATCCAAGGCAGTGAGCGCCAGACGCCGTGCAGGCGAGGTTACGCCGCATCAGTGAAGGTATGAGGGGCAGGGCGTGTTGGCGCATGGCGCGGCCGCCCGCTACGCTCGGGGTTCTCACGGCCCAAGGAGCGTGTTGCGGCACGTCAACCCCAGGCTGCCTCCCGGCAGAGGCCTGCACGCGCAGGGGCGGCGAGCCAACGAGAGATGTGTGTGCAGGGTTGCTGCTCTTGGGGCTGCCGCAGTGCAAGCGCGCTTTTCACCTGGCGCAAGCACGCTGCCACGGCGCAGCTGCAGTGGACGAGGGATGGCGACGGAGGGCTGGGCTGTTGCCTGCCATCGCACACAGCGCCTGGAACCACTGCCAGCCGCTTCCATATGCATGATCGCATGCAGTCTCACCTCAGCAGCAAGCGCCTGCCGTGCTCGGACTGTGCCGCCTGCGCTGCGGCAAGCAGCAGCAGCAGCACGAGCACCGGCCCGCGCTGCGCCCTCGGCACTACCATGCCGGAACGTCGCTGCTTCCCGCAGCCCGCAGTAAAACAAGGTTTGTTTGTCGAAGCTGTACAAGACTCTACAGTGGTTGTCGAGGCCCGCCCGCGTCTCACTGGGACGCTCCTGACCTTCACGGGCTCATATGCAGCCACAACTTCCCACAAAATAATACTGTAGCGACTGGGTGAGATTCTCAACCAACGAATCCTCACAAAAAATCGCCCCTGATGTGTAGACACGGGCAGGCGGAGCATTCAACCAGCAGGACGCACGGCACAGACCGGCCTTTTGGGAAGAGAGTCTTGCCGTGAACACGAGATAACTATCAAATAACCTGCACATATCATATGTTGCGTACTGCAGCAATTTTTTGAAGCTTCAATTTTCTCCGCCTCATCTCGTGTGGGTGGTGGGCACAAAGCTACATAAAAGAAAGGTGAATAATCTGAAATAGATTCCACCGACACCTTGACAATCGGTGGTGCTGGCGGCCCTTGAGGCACCAGGGCGTGATACACCGGGAATGGCGAAGGCAATTGTCCAGAGCAATGCGCAAAGCGCGTACTTGTAACGCGCATCATTCTCAATCCCGCGCAGTAGCCTTCATGCGGTTTGTGCGCACCACAGCGGGGCGCGATGCTGCGCGTGGCTGCTGCAACGGCGCGCGCACCTTGCATGCCGCCCCAGCGGCACAGCGGCGCGGGTGGCGCCAGGTGGTGCACGCTATTGAGCCTTACATGGTAGACAAGCTGAAGGCTGCAGAGATGACGTTTAAGGAGCTGCAGCTGCGCATGGCTGATCCTGAAGTGGCGGCCAGCAACGACGAGTTCCAGAAGGTGAGGGCAGACTTGCCATGGCAGGAGTGCAGTGGGCTTGGAAGCGCTGGCGCCGTTTGCAAGACTGCGCGCCCCGCTTGCAGCTGAGCAAACGCACGGGTGCCACATCAGCCGTCTACTGCACGGACTAGCTCGGACCCTCATTCCCAGACTTGCAGGCGCGCCTGCCGACCCCCGAGCAAACCAGCAGCGCATCTGAAAGTCATCCTTGGGCGGTGCGCCCCACACGCATCGTGCTAGAACGCATTCAGCGGTAAGCTCCACCCACTAACGCGCCCCGCAGGTCGCAAAGGCGGCCGCCGAGCTGGAGGGCACTGTCAACGCGTACCGCGCCCACCAGGAAGCTGAGCGGCAGCTGGGCGAGGCGCAGCGCTACCTGAAGGAGGAGGCGGCCTCAGACCCTGACATGGCCGAGTTTGCGCGCGAGGAGATCTCGGAGCTGCAGGGGCAGATCAGGGATCTCGAGAAGCAGCTGAGCCTGCTGCTGCTGCCGCGGGACCCCCTGGATGACAAGGATATCATGCTGGAGATCAGGTGGGCGTGTTTCAGTGCGATTTTTTTGGATAGAAGATTGCAAATTGCGTCGGATGGTACTTGCTGGGAGTGCAAGGCTCAAATCGTTGGCAGGCTGTTTCTCCAGACATGCCTGCAACACGGGCGGTTGGTGGGGGTGCCACCGCTGTGCGGCACGAGCGCATGTTGTCCCTGTCCCGGACACGGTCGGGGCATGCAAAGTTTGAGCTGTGCCCAAGCTTAGCTGTAGAGTTGCGGGTTTGGCATGCGCCACGCCTGTGCTCGGGGCCCGTGCGCCAGTTCCAAGGCCGTGACTGCAGTGCCCAGCTTGACCCCCCGCCCCGCCACCGCACGCGACGCTGCCGCGGCGCAGGGCCGGCGCAGGCGGCGATGAGGCGGGTATCTGGGCGGGTGATCTGACGCGGATGTACCAGCGATACGCGCAGTCGCAGGTGCGTGGTGTGAGAGCAGTTTGCAGGCTGTGGGTGAGGGTTTGGGGAAGGCATTCGCAAGGCAGCTGCGAAGGCGGGGTTTTCAGGACCGTCTGTGACAGCGGGAACGAGGAACTTGCAAACTGGCCAGCGTCCACGGCGGCGCGGCAGGGGTATGAGGACGCCCTCGCCTGCCGCAGCCGTGCGGCTGCCGCTCAGGGGTGGGGCGAACCAGCAGCAGCTGCCATTTAGGAGGCGGCGTCCTCCCCGAGCGTCAACGCGCTTGCGGGCCCTGGTAACTCGGTACCAGCACACGTTTTTGACCTGCTTGTTCTCCCCACCCGCTCAGGGGTGGAAGGCGTCGATGATCAGCAGCACTGTGGCGGAGGCCGGCGGCTACAAGGAGGTCATCCTGCAGGCACGCATAAGTTTTGGCCTGGGGGTGGGCCAGGGTGGGAACGGGGGTCGGCAGTGTGCCCGTGCATGCGTGGGCGCGTGTGTGAGACGTCTTGCCTGGCGCCGCAAGGCCTGCAGCGAAGCGGGCACGGCAGCTGCTGCTGCGCTATGGCTTGGAATTGGACGAAGCCGCCAGGCCAGCCGCTGGGACGCCTGCTTGCAAGCCCCGCGGCCAGGGCTGTTCGTTAGGAACTGCGCGTCCCTGAAGCGGAGCGTGCACGGCCCTCAACCTGAAACCTTCCCACCCGACGCCATTGTCCACTCACAACCCTCCCTCCTCGGGCCACCCTGGCAGCACCATGACCCGCCATCGCCACCGCAATCACCCCTGCCACCACCCACCCCCAGGTCAAGGGGGACAGCGTGTTCAGCAAGCTCAAGTGGGAGGCCGGGGTGCACCGCGTGCAGCGCGTGCCGGCGACAGAGGCGGCGGGCCGCGTGCACACCAGCACGGCCACGGTGGCGATCATGCCCGAGGTGGGTGGCACGGGTGCGGGCATTCATTTGTGCGGACGAGCGTGCATTGTGCGGGGGTTGTTTTGGGGTTTACCGTATTCCCCCATTGGGTGCTGCGGGGTGCATTTTTCTGTGCAGCCATCAGCATCCCGACATCCGCCACCTGCAAACCCTCGAACGATCGACCCCCCATCGCCGCAGGTTGACGATGTGGATGTGACCCTGGACATGCGGGACGTGGAAATCAAATTTGCGCGGTGGGTGGCGGCAGGGGAAGCTGTGCACCGCTTCCCGTCCTCTTGGAGGCCCACCATTGCATGCAGGGGCCAGCCACGCAAGCCTGGATAGCGGCTAGCGCTACTTTCAGGGGCGCGCTTTAATTACAGGGACCAGCGCTGATTTCTTGCCCGTGGGTGGCGCGCTGAGGCGCGCAGGGAACGCGTCCCTCTTGCCCTCAGACGCATCAGCTGCTGCCCAGCGTTCTGTGCAAAATCGACGCCCCCTGGTCCCTGCTGCCTTTGGTCGTTCCCTCACAAGTGCCCTCTCACCGGCCCGGGGTCCCGCTGCTCATTTGCAGCGCGTCCGGCGCGGGCGGCCAGAACGTGAATAAGGTGGAGACCGCGGTCGACCTCGTCCACAAGCCGACCGGCCTGAGGATCTTCTGCCAGGAGGAGCGCACCCAGGCGGCCAACAAGGAGCGCGCGTTCCAGATCCTGAGGGCGCGCCTGTTCGAGGCCGAGCTGCAGCGGCAGCAGGAGGAGATCCGGGCCAAGCGCATGAGCCAGGTGGGGCGGCGGGGCTGCGGTGCCCTGACCCTTGGGCTGCGGCGGTTGTGCCCAGAGCTGTTTGCGTCGGCAGTGGTGGTTGAGCCCTGGATTTGGGCTTCAAGCATTCTGGCGGAGGGAGGGGCTGCCGGGCTTCCGACCTTGTCCTTGCCCTCGGAGCTGTGGCGCACACTGGGGGCGTACAGCATTGCTTCAGCAGCTGGCCCCCTCTTTGACTCCACCGGCTGCATTGGATACGACAGTCAACCTTGTTTTGCGACTTGCAACCCTTTCCCCCCCAAAACCCTTCATGTTTTCAGGTCGGCACGGGTGACCGCAGCGAGAAGATCAAAACATACAACTACAAGGACGGCCGCTGCAGCGACCACCGCCTCAAAATGAACTTTGAGCTCAACAAGGTGCGGCGCCTGCTGACAGGGCTCTGCAACAGGGAGGATTCGGCGTAGCGTCATGCCCCCATTGCGTCCAGAACCTGAAAACTTCGCACCGGACAAGCTGCACGCGCCCTCGTCGTCCGTTTTCCTTGCAACTGCGCGCGCTGGGCGCACGCCCCCATTCCAGTTGATGTGCAATCATCAACTGCACCTGCTTATCTTCAACAATGCACACACCCACTCGCGCACGTACATGGAAGGCGCGCAAACGCACACGCGTGCACGCACGCACGCACGCACGCACGCATGCATGCATGCACGCACACGCACGCACACACACACACACGCACACACTTTACCAAGCCTTCTCTCACACCCGCGTCACTCGCAACCACCACATTTTACCCACCACCAGACCCTTGATGGCGAGATCGAGGACCACATCCAGGCCATGATCAGCCTGGACCAGCAGGAGCGCATGAAGGAGCTGGCAAACGAGATGGCCATGGCCTGAACCTGCCCGGCCACGTGGTGCACGCAGCATGCCAGACGCGTCGTTTCTGATTTTGTTAATAGCGGGCCGCCTCGTGCGCGAGTGCGAGGGCCCGCCGCTGCCGCGGCTTTGTTCTGAGGGTGTTGCTTTTGGTGCGCTGGGCTCGTGCACTGCGCGCTTTTGTTGTTGCGGTTTTCGCGTCGTCTTGTGTCTTGCTTATTCACCAAAGCTCAATTGCTAGCAAGTGTTGGGCCCATCTCCACCTCTCACACGCATTTCAGTGCGCATTGAGTACAAGCAAAGAGAAGAGTAACCTTGACTCACGACGCAGGGGCAGCGTCTCTGTGAAAGACTGAACGATGTGGATTGGTAATTCAGTAGGCTGCTTCTTGCAAGCTGAAAAGGCGATGATAATTGAACAGGCATCTGTCACGTATTTGCAGCGCCAGCCATGCAATGCAGGCCACTTTGGCAATCTTAGATCTCTGATAGGGATTAGGAGCTCGCAAGCTGGGCGCAGGCCGTGGGGGACCCTGGCTCATGCGAGTGGGTGTACTGGGCTACAACCACACAGTATTGGGTCGGACGCGCCCTGTTGGCTGGTCCTTGTACAACCAATTGATCAAGGGCGTTGTCATGGTGAACTTTATCGTGCGAGGGTGTGCGGCGCAGCACATACAGGTCAGCTAGAAAGAATCGCGCAATGGGAAGCCATGGTGGACAGCCAGGGCACCAGCTGTGAACCTCCCCAGCAAGCCAGCCAGGCGCAGCCAGCCCAAGTGCACGCGCGTGATTCACACTCCATTCGACTTCCACGCCGTGGGAGTATGCGCGATGAGATTCCAACCCTATTTGCACAACTGATGCAGTGCCAGGACGACAATCATCATCACAACCGCGTGTGATGTGACGTCGCCCAACCTCCCACTGATCAGCGGCGCTGCGCCCTGGCCCTCTGAGCGCCGTACCGTCGGGATGCTGCACCTCCAGGGGCGTATCATGCCTTGTGCCCAGGTCCATACCAGTTTCACAGACATCCATAGGATTGCGGTGTGATCGACGGATTTATATGAATAGACGCAAGCGATCTGGCCGAGATCACCCGCCATGTCGAAGCATGCGGCACGACCCGAGCCTAGCATATATGATGTCCATGCAGACCTGGGTGTTCCTGCCTCAGAGCCTGTTGTGCTCGCCCTACTGGGGGACTTGCTCAAACACCTGCAATACTCTCGTGGGCAGTGCTACCAGCTTGTGGATCGAGTACAGTCGCTTTACAAGGCACGAACAGGATAATTGACGCATCACTGCGAGCTTGCTGTCGTCCCAGGTGCCACGCGTCGCGGCAGCTGGCGGGAAAGCTGCTGCAGCTGTCGACGCGCACTCAAAATGATGATTTGTGAAGTGCGTCGGTGTGGCACGGGGTGGTTGAACATCGTCACACGCACCACTATCTGGTTTTGCAGGCAGCAGTTGCAGCGCAGGCGGACAGCAAGCGCAAGCGGTCGTCCAGCCAGATGCGACGCGTGTCCAAGGTGAGCTTGCGCGCTGGGCCCCTACAGGACGGCTTCCGCTGCCGCGACAACAAACACGCCCCCGACGCCAAACGCATGCGGCGCACCACTCCTCCGCAATACCCAATGCCATTCAATCCTTTCCCATCCGCAATTGAATTCACAACAGTACCTGCAGCAGCTCTCCTGCCAGCTCGACGCCCTCAAGGCGCTGCCGCTCAGCACCCTGGTGCAGCTGCGCGCGCCGGTCGTGGTGCTGCTGGGGCCCTCAACGCTGCGGCCCAAGGAGGTCTACGCCGTGCGGTTCGTGGCGCCAGGCAGCGGCGGCGGGGCCCAGCAAGGTGCGTGCGCAGCATTGTGTTGGGGTTCACCACGCTCAGCAATGCGGCGAGTGCGGGTCTCAACAGACACATCATCCCCTGGCAGAAAGCGCGGGCCATGTTGTGCAGGGTATGTGCTGGACTTAGCGGCACGTCCGAGGGCCCAGCTAACAGCTGGCAGCATCGCCTCTCTGCAAAGATCCTTGCTGCTGCGCGGTGCGCAGGGTGCCAACATTCGGCTGAGCAGCAGCAGGCGCCTGGGCCGAGCGCCAAGGAGCTGGCGTCTGCGGGCAAACGGCTGCTGCGAGCGCTCATCGTGCAGGGCGGCGCAATAGAGGAGTGGACGAATGTGGCAGGTGGGCCTGGGCCATCGGACGGGCCGCCGTGTGCTGCTCGCAGCCGCAGAATGTTGTCGTAGGAGACATGGCCCACAGCACGTGTTGTGTGGTGCGCGCCAGCAGCAAACAACGCTTTGCCTGCCCTTCGCAAGCCTTGATGCGGCCCATTTCTCAAAACAAAATATTCACGCGCCTCGTGTTCGTACTTCGCCCGACACTCCCCCCACTCCACACCTCCCCAGCTGCCACCAAGATGTTCATCATGGTTCAGGCCCCCGCCTCCCAGGCCCCGCCAGCTGGCTTCCTGCCGCGGCGGGGCTTTTCCCTCAACTTGCGCAAGGCCTTCCAAGTGGGCACGGGCGGAGCCTGGCCCGACAGGCATTGTCAGTCCGCTGCTGAGCTTGAGGTGCCATGCCTGTGTGCGACGTCCTGACGTGGCTACGCAAGGTTGGATTGGCTGCAGCTTGTCTCCAATCCAGTCTCTGCCTGGGGTTGCGGCGCTTGAAGCAATCCGTTATTCCTCGAATCTTTGCACCTTCAGGTCAACATTGAGGTGCAGCTCGCGACAGGGGAGTGGCCTGAGCCGGCAGCGGCATCCAAGCAGCAGCAGAAGCCGCAGCAGCACACGCCCCAGCAGCAGCGGCAGCAAGGGCCGTCGCAGCTGTCTCTGGAAGAGCAGCTTGAGGTGTCTATGCAGCTGTGCGACTCTGCATCAGACTCAGATGATGACCAACAGCGACGGCGGCAGCGCAAGGACCACTACCAGCAGCAGCAGCAGCAGCAGCAGCAAGGCGCTGATGATGTTGGTGGTGGCGGCACAGACACGGAGAACGGCGACGGGCTCTTGTGGCTGCAGTGCGTGCACGCGGTCAAGGGCATGCGCCAAACGGAGCAAGCGTGAACGCAGTCAGATTTCCTCATCCAGCAATGCACTGTTGACGGTCTCATGTATCATGGCAAGTATTGGCTGCATTTCGCAGGAGCGCAACACTAGGGGTTTTGCGTGACCGTGGATGTGTACGCAACGTCGCAAGCACAGGTTCGGCAGGAGTGGACTGGCCTCGCTGAAACGCGGTGACCATTTTCTGATGATGTGTGATCAGAGTATCAATTTTTGACCCGGCCGCAAAGGCGGTGTATACAATGTAACCCCCGATGCTCATGCGACTGATCATTGACCGCAGCGAGGATCGATTTGTTGACTGCACCTTGCTCGCGGGCAGAGTATCACAACAGCCCAAACGTGCCCAGCCTCAGAACACTGCACTCAAAAACAGGGACAATAAACACGTGGTTCGGCAGGTGCTCCTCACAAGACAGGCTATGTTTGCTCAAGTACGAGGAATTGTCTGGGCCACAGCTGCCAGGCACACAACGCGCGCAGCAGCCAGGCTCACAGCAACCAAGGAAAAGGCAAGCCAAGGGCGGCTGCTGATGCAACAACGGCCACGGGCAACTCAGTGTTGCGCTGCATTGCGCTGCACCAGGAATGTACTTGATAGGGGGGTTAGGATTTACCAAAACCTAAGTGCCTGGTTCATTTGCCACCTGGCTTGGAGGTTTGCAGAACTCAAATCGTTCCGACTGGAGCCACAGCTATGACCCCACAGCAGTGCATTGGCAACTGCTCGCAGCTGACAGGGCGCCGCCTCCTCTGCATCCTGCATGGCGTGCCCGCCTGCAATCTCACGCACATCTGCACCCCAAACATGAGGCATGCAAGCCAGGTGCCCCCCAAATCATGTTCATATGTGATCGGATAATCGTGGGCAGGGAGCACGACCTTAGCACATGCACCTGGTGTGGGACACAGCTATGCCCCACACCAAGAGCAAACCTGCAAGCGCGAGGCTCGGCAGGCACGCCACGCCCTGGCACGCAGCATGGCCGTTGAGCAGGACAGATGCAGGCGTGCCAAAGGGGCCTGGCTCACGGCCGGCCGGCAGAACCGCCTCATCTTTGGGTACGTACCTGGTGTTGTTGCGCTTGACAGGCGCCTGGTTCAGCAGGCACAGGTCTCAGCACAACCCATGAAACCTCACAAAATGGGGCGAAGCCGGCGGGTGCTCAGCTACAGCTGCCCATGCTGCCTCTTGCTGCGGCTGTTCGTCCATTACTGTGTGCAAGGGGGTGTACGCATACTTGCAACTGCCGACCAGCTGCTGGGCGCCTCTGAATGGTACAATGAACCATCAGTAATCATGCATCCCCTCTTCCGTGCATGCAAAGGCTTGGAAGATGGTCACTTGGTCACAAGAATGCTAAAGCGAGTTGATGCAATGGGCTTCACTGCATAGCCAATGATCAGCACAACACCCAAACAGCCGACGCCTGTTAATCATAGCGCGGTCTTGCAAGCCCTCAATCGAACTCGTCGTCAGCCACTGCGCTTGCGCCGGGGCGCCCGGCTCCGGCCCCCGCTGTCCCGCGTGCGCCACTCGGCAGCAGCACTTGCGTGGCCACGGCCCCGCCCGCGCCCGTGTTGAACCCGCCGTCCTCCTCGTCGCTCGCGCCGCCCGCCCCAAACTCCGACAGCCCGGCGCCGAGCACGCGCCGCATTATGGACGAGCCAGAGGCTGACGCAGCTGCCGCGGCGCCCGGCACGAGCGCGCCGGGCGGCGCAACGAGTGTGACGGCCGCGGCACGCCGGGGGCTCTGCGTTGTGCCAAGGTGAGGACGAGTGAGGAAATAACGGGAGGAGGGACGTTAGCATTTTCGATATTCTGTTAAGGCTGGCAAAGGCACAGGCAAAATGCTACGCCCACACACGTGCGCCGTTCAGGCTGCCAGGCATGCCTTCGGTGAAGGCGCTGCCGGGCGCTCCCCGCACCGCACCCACCCGGCCGCCGCCTGCCGACAGCCGCCGCTCGTCCCGGGCCGAGCCCAGTGGGGACAACCCCATGGCGGGCTCCCCTCCCAGGCTCCGCCGCGAAGCCGGCGACAGCATCCCGCCGCCTCCGCCGCCGCCACCCATACCGAAAGCGGCCCCCGCGCCCGGGCCCGCAACGGCGGCCCCCGCGGCGCTAAGCGGTGCGGCTGTCGCCGCGGGGCCCCCTGCGAGCTGGGCAATCCCGGCCAGCCGCAGGGGCGGGACGAGCGCGGCGCCCCTGCTAAGAGCGGGCCTGGCAGGGGGTGGCGCCTCTGCAGCCGGCCCCGCCACGGCCGCTTGAGCCTCAGCGGGGCGGCCCCGTGGGCCAGGAGTGTTGGGGTCTGCTGAAGCGTTGCTCGTCGCATCCGCGGCCGCAGCAGGGGCAGCGTCCGCCTCCCAGTCAAAGTCGCTGCTGTCGCCGCTTGTGCCGCTTTCAGAACCCAAACCTTCTGCAGCCGTGGCAGCCGCCTCCCGCTGCTGCGTCTGCGTCTGCGCCTGCGTTCGCGCCTGCGCCTGTGCCTGCAAATGCATCTGCTGCGTCCGCTGCTGCTGCGCCTGCTGGTGCTGCTTGCCGTGCAGCACCTCTTCATCCTGCTGCTGGCCCCTGCGCTGCTGCCCGGCAGCTGCGGGCGCTTCCTCATGCCGCCGTCCCTCCGCCCCGGAACTGCTCACCATGAAACTTTGGGAGGGCAGCTCCCGTTCAGCTTCCGCCACCTCAGCTGACTCACTCTCAGTCCAGTCCGTCTCTTCGCCTTCCACAGGGGATCCGACAGCGGTGGGCCGCGGCGACTCAGCGCTCGTCAGGTCAGCCGGAGAGTCACAGACAGGGGCGGGCTGATCCAGCATCGCAACCTCTGCTGGGGGCCGCTGCGCATGCTGAAGCTGTTGTTCTGGCGCAAGGTGCTGCTCGTGCTTGTGTGAGCGTGTGTACTGCTGCTGGGGGTGCTGCTGGGATAGCTGCTGCTGCTGCTGCTGCATCTGTTTCTGCTGCTGCTGCTGCTGCTGCTGCGGCTGCTGCTGCTGAGGCAATGGCGGCGGCGGCTGCGGTCGCTCTGGCCGTCGCTGCTTTCCCAGTGGCGAGGTTCCCTGCAGCTGTGCACCACCTACTGCCAGGTGCCGCTCGTTGTCTGAATGATCAAACGTTGCTGGCTGTGAACTCACAGCTATTTGAGGCTGAGCTGATGAGGATGCTCGTGTGGGGTCCCACCTCTCCTGCTCTCGTTGCTGCTGTCTGGAGAGTGGCACAGCCTGCTGCTGCAGCACGGGAGGTGCGTGCTGTTGGAGCTGCTGGCCCCCCGCCTGCTGCTGCCATGCATGCTGCTGGTGCGCGGGTTCAGAGTGTTGCTGCTGCTGCTGCTGCTGCTGCTGCTGATGCTGCTGATGCTGCCACTGTTTTTGCTGTTCCTGCTGCCATTGCTGCCGATGCCAGCTCTGCTGGTGCTGCTGCTGCTGCTGCTGCTGGTGCTGCGGCTGCTGCTGGTGCTGCGGCTGCGGCTGGTGCTGCTGCTGCTGTCCCTGCTGCTGCTCCTGGTGCTGCTGCTGATGACTTTGCCCCGTGTAGATCTGATGTCCAACTTGCTGGTGCGCCACCTTGACATCCGCAAACAGAGTGCGGGCCGCCCGTGGCGGCTGGCCAGCATCGGGCTCCTGGGAGAACTCATCCCCACCCACATTGCGCCGTAGGGGGGTGCCCTGCTGGGATGATCGAGCTGCATGTGCCGTCCAGCTGGGGCTGCGGGGCGCATGTGGAGGGGCGAGGGCCCACAGGGGGGTTTGGTCGCGATGATTGTGCTGCAGCGGGCCGGGGGGGGGGGGTGCAGGGGTTCCAAGCCAAGGGAGAGCAGCAGCTGCAGTCGCCTTAACAACAGGCGGCGCGGCGCCGCACCTGCAGGTGGCCAGCAGCAGCGCCGCCTGGCGATACCACTCAGGGAATGTGCGCTCGAGAAGCGCCAGGTAGCCCTGAGTGACCACATAGAGCTGCGGCGGCAGGGCAGCGGGCCAGGGTTGGCCGGCACTAGCCGTCCCTCATGAGGCACCACATGTGCATGGGCGTGTGCATGCGCATGCCGCATGCGGCTTGAGTTTGGAGGTCGGACCTGCCTCTGGGGCTCAAGGCCGCGCACTGCGGAGTCGCTTGGGGGTGAAATCGCCCGCGCACCTGCACTTGCTCCGGGGCGCCGGTCTGGGGGGCCGCGCTCTGACGCGCTATCGCCGCAAGCAACTGGTCGTTACGGCGTCGCGCGGCCGTGTGCTGCTCGTCCAGCTTGGCCTGCAGCGGTAGCGCCAGGTTGTGCCAAGGTAAAATCGATGCGCGAGCGCGGCGCAAGCAGCAGCATTGACTGGCGTTGCCCAAAAGCTCACCTTGTGGTGGCGCATGCTGATGGTGCTGGGCAGGACATCCCTGTCCGTAGTCAGAAGCATTCTTCTCTGCCGTAGCCTAGCTATCTCCCGTGTCAGGGGCGTCTGATCCATCGTACCGTAGGCGCCGATCAGCGGACCTGCCCGATCACCGCGCAGCTTGACGAGACAATCAACATGAAGCTGATTGCGCTGCACTTGTCGGGGCGAGCGCGGATATCAAGGCGGCAGCTGCTGTGACACAGACTGTCAGGTTGTTGACTACGGTACCGTACCGGTGTGTGCTGCTCCAATAACCGTATGCAGCTGAGAAGCAGGGGTTTGCTGAGCATGCAGGCTGGCGCATTCTTACCAGTGCATGGAGCTGATGCAGGTGGTCAGTGACTTGGGCTTTGGGGCGGCCCAGCCACCTCGCTGGTCGACAAATTACCCCTCTGGTGCCGCTGCGCTGGACGGCCATTTTTTGGCTGCAAAGGCCCGAGAGTTGCTGGAGTAGGGTACCACCAGCCCACCATGACTGCGTCCAGAGTCTTTACAATAGCCCACAGGCCCAACCGCCGCCTCGGTTGTCGCGTGCGCACACTGTGCACAGGACCCAATGGCAGGAGCGCAGCGCGGCTGATCGCGTGCGAGCTGCAGTACAGCCCTGAAAGCCACACATGCATTGCTTTGAAAAATAGCATGTGCAGTCCGCTGCAGCGACATGACCGCCACGCGGCAGCCAGGGGCCAAGGCGGGAGCAAGCTTGATACAGCCGGTGACGGGCAACACGGCCGCGGCCGACGCAATCACGCGCTGCACCCGCAGACACCAAAAAATGCCAGGGAGCGATAGCTACGCCACAAACGAGGGGTGCTGAACTTGGGACCGTTCAACGCCACAGCTAGCTGCTGCCACGCGCGAGGGCACGGGCGAGTGCTTGCGGCCGGTCGCGGCGCTTGTCACCTGCATCCCGCCTTGCAAGCATGCAGTCACCCATACCTCCGCGCTGGCATATTCAAGCATGCACGCCGCGTGCCGCCCAACTCATGCCGAACGTCGGAGGGACGATTGCGAGCAGGGAAGCAAGGACTTCTCGCCTGCATTCCACAGCTGAGCACAGGGCCGGTTGCATCGCTGCCCAGCAATCAGTTGAGAGGAATCGGCACGACAGCCGCACACGTGCTTGAATTCAAAGGGGGACGCAGGGCCACCGGCGCCCCTCGCCGGCACCGCGCCACGCGCCAAGGCCCGACGCGCATGCAGTACAGAGGTGATTGATCGTGTGTGTATGTGTGCAGAATGCATCCCTGCAAACACGTCACAAAACCAACCGATTTCCCTAAGCCTCGGCTTCTCGCCGCCCCAACGCCGTTGGGCCTCCACCCGTTTTCAGCTGCGGTGGGGCAGCGCTCACAAGGCCTCTGCGGCCTCGGGCGCCGCAGCTGCTGCGACCTGCCCCCAGGCTGCGGCAGCAACTGCGCCTGCAAGGGGCCGCCGCTGGCCGCCGCCGCCGCTGCGCGCGGCCGGGCTCAGGCCTTTCCGGCCCGCTTGGCCTGGAAGGTGGTAGCAACTGCGTCCATGAATTGCTCAGTGTTGAGGTACTGGTCCGGGGTGACCTGCAGGTAGGGGGTGCAGGAGGCGGCCGTTTTGTTTAACGGTTAGGATGTTCCATGGCTGACACACAGCACAGTTGAGACGAGAGGCGGGGGTGAGAGCGTGATATGGGAAGGGGCGGTCCTAAGCTCAAAAAAGGCCGGCCACCAGGGGACCTCTTTAGGCTGCCCTGACGCCCCCACCCCGAGGCCATGTTTTCTGAAAACCCATCAATGGCATTGCAGCACCCCTGCTTACACACACATCTGTATCATCCTGCGAACACACACACACACACACACAACGCACAACCCCCTTACGTTGTTGCCGTGCTGGCAGATAGCCAGGTCCTTGGTCACGGCGCCGTTCTCAATGGACGAGATCACCGCCGCCTCCAGGTCGCCGCAGAACTCAGCCAGCTCAGCGTTGTCGTCAAGCTTGGCCCTGCGCGCAGCAGCAATGCGTTACGCACGAGCCCATGAGCGTGAGCTTACGCGCCGGCACGGTTGTCGGCACAAGCATGACAAGAATAAGCGTGAGAGCCAAACGGTGCAAGGGTTGGCGTGAGGGGTTCAGTGGTTGGTGATTGAGGGTGGTGGAGCGGGGGGCAAAGATATGGATTGGAGATGATGGTTTGATTGGGGATGAGCTGGCTTTACCAAGCGGCGAAGATGTGCGTGCTGGCGGGGCCAAGGGCGTGCACAAACCGGAGCCGCAGCAGCCTGGACGCACAAGTGCGCCGGCCCGGGCCGCACCTGTGCGCGAGGCCACGCGTCCAGGCGAAGATGGAGGCCACGGGGTTGGTGCTGGTGGCGCGGCCCTTCTGGTGCTCCCGCCAGTGCCGCGTCACGGTGCCTAAGGGATTATCAGGGTTGATGGATCAGGTCGACGGTGGGACGTCGCAGTGCTCAGGGGTTTTTTCAGGGTTGGGGGTTCAGGTTGATGGTGGAGCGCGGGGGCGTTGCCTTACGGGAGGGTGCGGGAAGGACTTGGATTTGGAAAGAATGAGCGAGTAGCAGCGAACAGGCTTGAGAATTGGCGGGGGCTCTGTGGTTTCTTTGCTGGACGCAGGGCTGCTGGGGAGGTGGCTCCCCAGACAAAAAGACGGAAAGGCCACCTCCCCAGCCGCGCCGCGCGCGTCCTGACGCTTGGCAGGCAACCGCATGGAGCCCCCTGCCCAGCGCATAAAAGTCTCGGAGCCCCGGACGGACAGAATCATAACGCGGGGAATCACAAAATAGCAACCAGGGCCCCAACAAGACTGCCCGATGCCGGCGATCGCATGCATGCCGGGCCAAAAGCCAGGCCGCCGTCTGCAGGTTGGCTTGGTTGTTGACCACACAACTAACGCAGGGCAACAACTCCCGCCGGCTGGAAACCGGTCGCATCTCAACAATGTGGTGACGTGCGCTTTGTGCAGGTACACTAGATGATGATCGTTTCGAAACCACCATGACCGCCGCGGCGACACCCCCAGCCACCGCCCTGCAATCCTGCCCAAAGCAACACCCTAGACATTGCCCCCCAAACCCAGCCCAGCAAACGTGCCACCAGCCCCGTCAGCACGCACCGTGCGCAGCCTCTGCCTCCACGGTCTTGCCGTCCGGGGTGATGAGCACGCTCGTCATGAGGCCCAGCGAGCCATAGCCCTGGCGGTAGGGGATTGGGAAGGTGTGAGGTGTGTGAGCACACGCACACACATGTGGTTGTGTGTATGTGTGTGTTTCTGTGTCTGTGAACGGGGACCAGAGACACTCGGAGGTCCTGTCTTGAAAGGAAGCGATCAGGCGCACAAACGTCCGCCATGGTGTGATCTCACGCAGCAAAGAGCGCTGCCGCCCAGCCGCGCCGCAGGGCGCGCCCCACCTGCGCCACGATGTCTGACTGCACGTCGCCGTCGTAGTTCTTGCACGCCCACACAAAGCCGCCGCTGCTCTTCAGGGCCTGCAGGGGGCACGCGCACGAAAAGGCTTGTGTTTGCCAGTCGGGGTGACACTTTGCCAAGGGGCGTTTGCGGCAGGAAAATGATGTGGTATGAGGTAGTGACCAAAGCGGGTTGAAAGGAGGTGGTGGCGTTGCGGGGTCGCGCCAGAAGAGGTGGTCGAGTGAAGGGGCGAGGGCGCGAAACAGATGGCGCGCGAAGAGGGCGCAGGGCTGCAGCGCGGGGCAATGCGGGGCGCAGCCCAGCGCCCGCTGGCCTCTCACGCCCGCAAGAAGCACGCCCAATGTTCTTGAAGCGATCACGCCACACGCGCGAGGCGTGCGGCTGAGCACACCCGCCCCAGCCCGAGCCCCGAGTCTCTGTGCGCCCAGCCACCCCCACCTGCGCCACCATGTCGTCGATGAGGCGGTGCTCGTACCAGATCCCGGCCGCCTCGAACTTGGACTTGTAGTCCGCCTCGTAGATCTGAGATCGATTGGACGAGGGGGGGGCTGGTTGAGTGGCTTCCTTGAAAACCAACATGGTCTCGATTTTGAAAGCCTCCAGATAAGCCAAGAGATAGGCCCCATTGACCAGCAGGTGCAACTTGAATTAAATCACGACATCCCTCCCACCCAGATGTCGAGGCTTGAGACATGGTGTCCATTGCCCAACCTCCACACACATATGAGATATGACCAAGACAGCCTGCCCTCCCAACCACCAATAACCCCGACACCGCACAGCCATGCCCAATCACCCACCAGGTAGGAAAGCAACCAGTGCCTTGCGCTCCCTACCCCCCCCCCCCTCACCCAACACAGCCACATATCTCAGTCCCCACCTCCTGGAAGATCATAAGAAAGCGGCCGTCGTAGGCCTTGAGAATGGTGTTCTTGGTGGACAGGTACAGCGGCCAACCCTTGGACAGGGCGTACTCGAAGCACGACTGTGAGTGTGTGTGTGTGTGTGTGTGTTGGGGGGGGGGGGTGCACAAGCGTGTGAGTGTGTGCTCGAGAGGGGAGGACGGCGCAGAGGCGCAAGGCATGGATGGAACGCGGATGAGTCGACTGTGGTTTGCGGGTCGGGGTTGTCTCATGGGTTCTCAGCCGCGCTCAACAAGACTGCAGGGAGCTTCTTTGCGCACAGGGTGCCGCCTAAGACGATTCCTTGGCACCCACTGGCATCAAAGTTGCGAGGCTGCGCTCTGCTTACAAATCTGCATGGCACTGCGTTGCATCACCCTGCTCTCATGCCCGCGCACCCTGGCGAAGCCCTTGATGGAGTCGTCTGTGTTGTACATGGCCAGGCCCACACCGGGGCCCTCGAAAGTAAACACCTCGTAGGACTGCGGGGAGGGTGCATGTGTGTGTGTGTGACAGGGCGCGCGCACGTGCGCATGCGAGTGCGTGCAAGCAACCATGTCTAGCAATGCACCCGTGCAACGTCCAGGTTCTAGTGCTGCGGCTGCCACGCACACACACACACGCACACACGCACACACACACGATGCCCACCTGGGCCTCCGTGCTGCCCTCCGGCGTGAACTTGAGCTCCAGCTTGCCAGGGCCCGGCACCCGCAGGTCCGTGGCGCGGTACTGGTCGCCGTACGCGTGCCTGCACAGGACGACGCATGACGAGCATGGTCAGGCTGCGGGCGACGCATGACATGAGCGCGGCACTACAGAGGGGTTGCGCAGAGCGGAAGCCGTGGGCGCAGCGTCCCTGGGGACAGACGCAGCCTCACAGCATCGCAGCCAACGCGCGCGGACGGCAGCGCAACTGCGCCACTCTTTGAACCCAGGCGCCGCGAAACCGTCCACGTGTCCGCAGCCGGCCGGCGGCCCGACCGTGCGCCGCCCACCTGCCCACGACGATGGGTTTGGTCCAGCCGGGCACGATCCTGGGGATGTTTGAAATCACGATGGGCTCCCTGAAAACGGTGCCGTTGAGGATGTTGCGGATGGTGCCGTTGGGGCTCTTCCACATCTGATGGGTGTTGGGTGGGGGGTTCGGGGTCGGGGGTGCGGGCTGGTTGAGTTGTGTGGGTGGGTGGGGTAGGTCAGGTTGTGCT